ACCGGGGAGTTGACCGAGAGGGTTGATCGGGGGTGTTGACCGGCGTTACCAGAGGTGACCGGGGGTTGACCGAGGGTTGACCGCAGAGTTGACCGGCGTTGACCAAGAACGTTGACCAAGACTTTGACCAAGCTGGAGTTGGTAACATCTCGCCAAGCCCTTAGCCTACCCCTTGCCCTATGGATGTGCACATACCCCTTGGTACTTGCTGAGTACAGTCTGTCTGTCTATTCTTTCTGCATCGAGTCCCTTCTGTCCTAGGTCATAGTACTTTGTGGATGAAGGATAGGGCTTGGATGACGAAACCCTAGTCTGACCTTGTAAGGCTAAGACTGTGGCTGATCCAACTTTCCAGGGGGGCATAACCCTCCCAAGGACCGGTGCTGACTGGCTGGAAACGGTTGGTAGGACTCAGTGGGCCTGAACGGCAGCTAGGGCTGACACACCAGGCAGTCTTTAAGTATTGAGGGCCTGTTTGAACCACTCCCCTACCGGACCAAGTAAGGCGGAGGATCTGTGTCTGACGACTCGACTGTCCCGGAGGTCAAACCCTCCCAAGGACCGGTACAGACCGGCGGGCTGCTCGGTGTGGCACAGTAGGCCGGAAAGGCTGAGTTGTGGGCTGAAAGCACAGGCAGAACCAAGCTGATCACGTCGTCCTGTCTGCGACGTTAAATAATTCTTGCGAAGTTACGGGGGATCTCCTTAAATGCCTCTTGATCAGCCACTGGCTCAGTAGTGACAGCCAGAGTTAGGTCTAGGTTAGAAACCATAGTTGACAGGATCCCTGTCCGGATTCAGCGAGTCATAGATTGAGTCTATAGGTTTGGCAGTCAGGGGTTAGAGTCTACGTGGTGAGGAGTGGAATCATCCTGATTGTGCACCTATCACCATGGTTGAGACCCGTACGGGGTTAGAGACTAACCCCTATAGGAAGGAGCAGCAAGAAAAGATGGCCGCCCAGGGAGAGAAAAGAGCGTGAGAAGCAAGCGAAGCTAAAGGCAATCGCAAACGAGCAGGAGGCGAAGATGAAGAGATTGGAGGAGGAGATGAAGAGAGTACAACAAGAGGAGGAAGAAAGAAGAAAAGTTGCTGAAGCAGAAGTGACAGCAAAAGAAGAGAAAGAGAGAATGAGGATTGAGAGTGGAGAAGGAAGCAGTGGTGGAATGATGAAGAGGGAGACAGATATTGAGATGGAGAAAAAGATTAGCGACTGGGTCGCTAATTTATCGTTGGGTGAAGAGGAGGAGGCAGCGTCCTATGTAACTGAGGATGAGAGGGTTGCGCTAGCCAATGAGCTAGCAACAATGACAGATCCTATGGAAAGGCGAGAAAGGGAGGAGGAGCAGAAATTGGCATGGAAGTTAAGGATGAAGCGAGAGAAGAAGAGGAGGAGAGAGGAAGTGAGTAGAATGACTGCAGAGGTAGCGAAGGTGCAAGCGTGCAGGCAGGAGGTGTTGGCCCAGCTGGATGATAAGGCCAAGTGGGACAAGGTACGGGGGTACCTGGAAGTGTTGAGCAAGGCCTGGATGGAAGAGAGTCAGGCTAGCTGGAGCCAAGATGTAGCCTCGAGTGCCATGCGGTCAGGGTTTAGAGACTTTGCGCACGAGATCGTCACCCACATTGGGGGCGAAGTCAAGCAGTTGAGAGACAACGTAGGGAAGTTTTGTGAGGGCGCCATTCAGGGTGCCAAAGCTGTAGCCGCTGTAGAGGGAGAGGCCAGACCCCGTAAGGACCCAGTGAAACTTAAGTTCCCAGATGCGTACGGGGGAAAGAAGGAAGAAAACTTTGACARCTGGGAAGCCRGTGTCAATAGTTATATTTACTTACAGCACATCCTGATTGAGGAACAAGTCCTCGTGGCCTTCCAGGCCCTCAAAGATGAAGCGGCTAGTTTCGCCAGGTCTCTTGCGCGTACAGCCGGTTGTGAAAACAACCTGGTTGCATATTCCAAAGTCACCCCTCTTTCCCAATTCCTCAAGCTCCTCAAGGAGCGTTTCGCTGACCCAACGCGAGGCATTAGAGCCTCTGACAAGCTGCAAACGATCCACTCACGGCAGTGGAGGAGTGCTAGGGCACTCAAGGGTACCATGGACGACTTAGTGGCCGTCCTGGACCATGGGGTCACTGAGACCTAGTTGGTCCAATTGTTTTATCGTGCCATACCCGAGGCCCTGCGCGGGCATTTCTTTGACAAGTCTCAACAGGCCGGTGTCACATATGATGCATTCAGTAGGGAAGTCGTCCTGTATGAGTCAAAGTCCATGCCAGTTACCACCTTCTGGCACAAGGACGTGGAGAAGGGAAAAGGGTGGAAAGGGCGTACCATCTCTGGCCAAGTCAAGGCCAAGGATCACATGATCCTTACCTTAGAGGAAGGTGGTACTGATGAGGTCCCATACAGTCAGATAGAGTGGGGCCTCGAGGATGATGGCAGTAGTGTGGGGCAAGGGAGGTCCTATGCTGCTGTCGCGGTTGGACGGAGGCCGCAAGGTAGAGGAGGAGGCCAGGGCCAAAGGGGCCAGGCCATGGGAGGCCGAGGACCGGGCGCACAGGGGGTTGGCGGCCAAGGAAACTGCCAATTGGGAGGTAGGGGTCAAGGTCCCCCGTTAAATCGCCAAGGTAATCGGTCTCCACAGCGAGGAGGTGGAAGAGCACCTCAAGGAGGATGGCACCCAGGCTTGCCACAGGGCAGGCCCTGGGAAGACTTGGGCTTGGACCAGCGATTATGGCAGGAACGCGTGAACATGGGTCAGTGCGTATTCTGTGGTGACCCGGCGCACGTAATTAAATTTTGTCCAAAGTATAGACAGGCCCGTTGGGCTGCTTAGTCGTCAAAAGGAAGCCGCCAGTAGGGGTCGCAACTGCCCCTACTTCCAGGCCATGTGGAGAAGTGAGCGCGCACGAACAAGACACTCCTAACCCACATGAACCTATGGTAGAGGTTGCAGGCCCGTGCCTAGATAGCTGTCCAGAGACTGCTTGTGTTAGCGTCTCTTTAGGCACGTCCCTCACAGGTGTGGCAGAAGAGTTAAAGGAGAGGATGCCAGCCTGGGCCAAAATGAAAAGGGAGAGTAAGGGACAACTGATTTTGGTAGATGTAGAGGTGTTTAGAAGTAGAGTAGGGGCCCTTATAGGCTCAGGGGCTACCCGTAGTTACATTAGCTGTAGGGCGCTGAAGAAGTTGAGGCTAGGACTAAAGGTCCAGAAGTTAGTAGACCCCATAGTCAGTGTCCTCGCAGACAACCGCACGATGTGAGTTGAGTACTATGTAGAGGGAGTCCAGGCGTACTTTCGCCTAGAGAAGAATGGAAAAGTGGAGAAAGTTCTCCATTCTTTAACTCTCCTCGTACAGGATGACCTTCCTTTTTATGTACTTTTGGGAATGGATTGGGGAGAGGCAGCAGGGGCCACACTCCATTTGAGAAAGCATGAGTGTAGGCTCCCTAGACCGTCAGGCGAGGTTAAGACTGCCCGCTTGTTCCATGTGTCTGGTGTAGACAATACCTTGGCACATTGCTGTCTCAGTGCTCCCGCGTTCGCGCGATTAGTCAAAAAGGAGCATTTAGAGGAACAGGTCTTTGTAGTTTATGTTAGACCTGTCACTGAGGCCCAGGAAAAGGATAGTTCCACAGATCAAACAATTGCCAAGCTGCTGGAAGAGTTCAAAGATTTGACTGAGTCGCCGACAGGAGTAGTGCCGCGACCTATCCAGCACAGGATAGAGATAGAGCCTGGCAGTAGAACTCCTAAGGGTGCAGTCTACAGGATGTCCCCTAGAGAGTTAGAGGAGTTGCGCAAGCAATTAGATGAGCTCCTAGAGAAGGGTTGGATCAGGCCCAGTTCATCTCCTTTCGGAGCACCAGTCTTGTTTGTCCCCAAGAAGGAAGGAGAGTTTCGTATGTGCATAGACTATAGGGGTTTGAATGCAATTACCGTGAAGAATGCTGAGCCGCTGTCCAGGATAGATGATCTTTCAGACCGGGTGCACGGTCGCAAGTATTTCTCTAAGATAGACTTAAAGTCCGGATACCATCAGATAGAGGTTCACCTGATGACCAGTATAAGACTGTGTTCCGGACTAGATACGGGCACTATGAGTTCATAGTGATGCCCTTTGGACTAACCAACGCGCCAGCTACTTTTCAGCGTTGTATGAATGACCTGTTTAGACCGTGGTTAGATAAGTTTGTGGTAGTCTATCTAGATGATATCCTAGTTTTCAGTAAGACCCTCCAGGAGCACCAGGGTCATCTGAGGCAGGTCTTTGAGAAGCTACGAGAGGCTAACTTCAAGATCAACGCAAAGAAGTGTGAGTGGGCCAAGACGCAAGTCTTGTACTTGGGCCACGTGTTGGACGGAGATGGCATTAAGCCAGAGGACAGCAAGATAGCAGCGATTAGAGACTGGCCGACGCCCCGCACATTGACAGAGTTGCGGTCGTTCCTAGGCTTAGCTAACTGCTATAGGAAGTTCGTGAGGAACTTTTCCACTAGAGCCGATTGCTAAAGAAAGAGGCAATCTGGCAATGGGACAAGGACTGTACGTTTGCACTCAAGAAGTTAAAGCGCGCGTTAATAGAGTACCCTGTCCTCAAAGTTGCAGATCCGTCCTTGCCATTTGTCGTCACCACGGACGCGAGTCAGTAGGCGCCGTGTTGCAATAACGAAGAGATCCGTAGTCTGATTTTAGGGGAATGTCACAATACTGAGGGACATTTTGGTTGGCAAAAGACATTAGCCAATCTGATGCGTGTGTATACCTGGCCGGGGATGAAGAATGACTGCATAGCGTATGTCCGCAGTTGTAAAGTGTGCCAGAGGAATAAGTCTACTACACGCGTGCCCCTAGGTCTTCTCAGACCCTTGCCTATTCCGGACCACCCGGGAGACTCCGTGTCCATAGACTTCATGGACACCCAAGTCAAGAGTAGACATGGTAAAAGCCAAGTCATGGTCATAGTTGACCGATTTAGTAAGTATGCAGTTTTTGTTCCTTTGCCTACAGAGGCACGTACAGATTTAGTGATACAGAAGTTCTTTGACTTTTGGGTTAGTGAGAATGGTATCCCATTGTCAATAGTCAGCGATAGAGATAGTCGCTTCACCAGCCAGAACTGGCACGAACTCATGCGAGTGTACGGATCTAAGTTGTTAATGTAATCTGGCCGACATCCAGAGACAAATGGTCAGACATAACAAATGAACAAGATCCTACAGCAAGTTCTGCGCATGTACATTAGACCAGATCAGATTAACTGGGATGAGATGTTGCCTAAGGTAGCTAGTGCATACAACAACAGCGTGCATCTATCCACCTGCCGCACTCCCAATGAGTTGCACAAGTCCTTTAGACCACGCAGACCGTTCGAAGGACTGAACCGGGATCAGATTCACAGATTACCGCCCGGTACCAGGGAGTTTGCGATACAGCACGAGAAAGAACTAGCCACTGTTGTTGAAAACCTCAGGAAGGCCCAGCATAGGATGATAGAGCAAGCTAACAAGCACCGCCGCGCGTCGCAGTTTCAAGTAGGCGACTTAGTCTGGGTCACGGCTAAGGAGTTTGCACCTGAAGAAAACATCTCGCAGAAGTTACTACCCGCATATAGAGGACCGTGGCCGGTTCTAGAAGTCAAGGGCGGAGATGATGGACCGTCCTATAGCATTGAGGGTCCAGCACACCTCCACACATACCCTGTATTTCATGCTTCAAAGCTCCTGCCATGTGTCACAAGCCAACAGTTCCCTTCGAGAAGATCCGTGATCCCCCCGGATATGGATGGAAGTTATGACATTGAAGGCATTGTAGACGAGGATGTGTTCAGAACAGGAGGTAGGGGTCGTCCCCAGAAACAATATAAGGTCCGTTTTGCTTATCAGGAACCGGAAGATGACCACTGGTTCACAAAAACAGAACTTCTAGAAACTGCTCCCGACATAGTCAGAGCCTATGAACGTGATAAGAAAGGTACAGGTCCCGCCTTGGACTAAGATGTTCTCGGAGGACCTCGAATTTAGGACGGCGGGAGTGAAACGGTTTTCACCTTTTAGCAGTAGCGGATGCAGAACCCAGGGTTCAATCCCTAGACCTCACCCTACCTATGTACAGTATCTGTATAGATCCCGAGAATTGAACCTGTGACCTGTGTATTCGCAGACGGTTGGTAGGTCTGTCGTAGGTCCATAGGGAGCAGGGTTTCGATCTGTAGGTCTATAGCGTAGAAGTCTTAGTGAGTTCCGGAAGCTTAGCTGTAGATCTTCTAGAAGGTAGGCAAGTGGGCAAGTGGTCAAGTGGYGAGGCAAGTGGTGGACTAAACCGCAGTGCAACAGCAGTACAACGTCGGTAGGATAGCGGTGAGYCCACAGTCAGTCAGCGGAAGGTCCAGTCAGTCCCAGTCCGGTCCAGYAAGTACSACAGGGGGACTGTGAGCACCAAGGGCCGATGGCAAAGGGCAGACCAACGAGTTTCTGAAGTATAAATCAAGAGGCAGCGCCCAGCCTTTCATTCATTCCTGCGTGAGCCATGCGGAAGCACTGCCACAGCGACTTGTGCAAGGAATTCTGCAGATGAGCCCGGAGGACGCAGTGGGCAAGAGAGAGGGAGCTAGCATAGCGATATGTTAGATGCAGCGATAGCTGCCATAGCTGTAGTTAGTAGCGAGTGTGTGTGTGTGTTCGAGTGTTAGAGTGATGCGTGTGGGATATCCAGGGTGATCCACTGTATGTGAACAGTGAGATGTTTGGGCGCTGAAGTCGCCATAGCCAATTGAGAGTGAACTCGTATCTAAAGCTATATCTCTGAGTTTTGAGTGGGCGCATGTCGCCAGTATGCTGCGCTGCTGTTTACATGCATGAAAAGTGTGTTTGAGAACGAGTCTGATTGCATATTTTGAATCTTGATTTTATTTTTTATTTTAAATTTGGTTAAATAATTTCGATGCGACCCTGTGGCAAGAGTTGTTCGGTTTATTTTTCTGCATAACATAGTTTGTTTTCGGATTTTTTGGAGTTTTTTTTTTTTTTTTTTT